TTCGGGCAGTACCATGTAGTTTCCCTTTATTTCAATATTTCAGCGCGATGTTAGCTATAAAATACTAAGTTTCACTGTAATATTAATGCACAAAAAAGTGGTTTATTATCATTTATAATTTATCATTGTATTGTTACGCCGCAGCCGAACAGCGACTTGAAGGATCTCAGCACTCCGTTCACAAAATAACACTTTTATTACAGAGATGATCTTTTAGAAATCAACCATTAGGAAAAACCTCCACCCATTATGCGAGTGGTGGAAATTCGCGTTTATCCTAACAGTATGATATCTGAAGGCAAAAATTCTTACGTCTAGTCTGAGTCGACACAGGACTGCAAAGTGTTAAGGGGTTAATACCGCAACAAAAGGAAGAACTCGTCCACCTTACCAACCCTAGCGTTTCATAAAATTAAACCAACAACCAACACAATAAAACTCGACATTTCCTAATTTACGGTTTAGCAGAGAAACCAAGAAGGTGATGAACGAAGGAGAAGAATGAATTGGCTGTTGGTCGTCGAACGGTTCACAAACAACTAATATACTTGAAAATTGATCCTCGAAAATTCCGTTAAGTCGAGACGTTGTTCGCGCGCTTTGACGTCTTTCTTTGGGCTCGCAAGTGCTCAATTTGCCGGCACTTTCTACGGGTGAGCTCGTGGTTGAAATCACTTAGCAGCCATAAACGGAGAACAACCGGACGGGTAATACGTGTTTGCACTAATAATAGGTCCTCCGTAAACACAGGGTTGCTTCTATACGCTAGCAATTATTATCGTACTTCGCGTAAGTATGCTCGAGTGCGGTGTACATGCATTTCTCGATGACGTTGCTTCATCACCATCTCGAAAGCTGTAGGCGAGAGGTAACGAGAGTCGTATTATCATTGACAACTGATAGTAAAACGATTTATCGTGAGGCTCGTGATTCCAACCTTGGTCATTTTTTTTTTTTAGATTTTACGTTATCGCGCTTGGCTTTCTGTAGTCGATGCTTTAATGAATTGTGTGGAAGAATGCTTGTTGAATTCGAGTTTGAGAAAGTATTGATTGGCGATATTTGAAAAATTTGCTAAATGGAACGAGATCAATGGAATATCATATTTCACTTTCAATATCATTTTCAGAGGTTTGCAATTCGCAGAGGAGTTTCAAGGAAAATATTAAGATAAATTTGATGTGAATTCTATGAAGAAACCGCATGTCACGATTAAAGAGTAGACTCATCTCTTTGTCATATGAGAGAAAATAAAAAAGTAGGAAAGATTGATAGGATTAAGAAACGTCGTCGGTATTCTCTTTGTATAAGAAATTAATAAAGAGAATTTATGTTATCGATGATTCTTCTTGTCTGGAGTTAATTGTTACTAATCGGGAGAAACTGCAGAAAATGGTGTAAAAGTATTTTTAATTGTAACGAAATATGCGTCATAAATGACGTATGGATATTTATATTATAAGCGAAAAGTATTATGGTCTCTTTAAGCTTCTTGAATATATCTGTTCGTCTATTTTTAATTTCTAATCCATTATCAAAATTCTGCCCGACATCTAGATTACTTGTTGAAGTGTCTGGCCGTAATCAGTACTGTAACTGAAACATAAAGGTAATCCAACGATTCTAGATTTATTCCTGATATCGATTTCTATCCATTCCATGTAATATTTTAATATACCTGCCATATTAAAATTGACTATCACTCTAATTTCCAAATCAAAAATTTGAGACTTTCGCGGATCGGGATTATGTAGCTTTTATTATTGAGGCTTTCGGGTTTAAGCTGTGTCCTTATGGAAAAAGTATTCCTACGTTTCTCAAGCACTGCAGCTCACGTCATCAGGGTTCCAATTGCACAATGAAAGACATAAGGACACGATTTTCCATAAAGACACAATTTTTCATAAGGACACGAGTTTTCACAAGGACACGATTTTCCATAAGGACACGATTTTCCATAAGGACACGGTTTTCCACGAGGACACGACTTTCCATAAGGACACAATTTTTCATAAAGACACGATTTTCCATAAGGACACGAGTTTTCACAAGGAAAGACACAATTTTTCATAAGGACACGAGTTTTCACAAGGACACGATTTTCCATAAGGACACGGTTTTCCACGAGGACACGACTTTCCATAAGGACACAATTTTTCGTAAAGACACGATTTTCCATAAGGACACGAGTTTTCACAAGGACACGATTTTCCATAAGGACACGGTTTTCCATGAGGACACGGTTTTCCACGAGGACACAACTTTCCATAAGGACACAATTTTTCATAAAGACACGATTTTACATAAGGACACGAGTTTTCATAAGGACACGATTTTCCACGAGGACACAATTTTTCGTAAAGACACGATTTTACATAAGGACACGAGTTTTCATAAGGACACGATTTTCCACGAGGACACGACTTTCCACGAGGACACAATTTTTCGTAAAGACACGATTTTCCATAAGGACACGAGTTTTCACAAGAACACGATTTTCCACGAGGACACGACTTTCCACGAGGACACAATTTTTCGTAAAGACACGATTTTCCATAAGGACACGAGTTTTCACAAGAACACGATTTTCCACGAGGACACGACTTTCCACGAGGACACAATTTTTCGTAAAGACACGATTTTCCATAAGGACACGAGTTTTCACAAGAACACGATTTTCCATAAGGACACGGTTTTTCACGAGGTCACGGTTTTCCATGAGGACACAATTTTTCGTAAAGACACGATTTTCCATAAGGATACAATTTTTCATAAAGACACGATTTTCCTAAGGACACGACTTACGCCCGGAAGTCTCAACAATAAAAGCTACCCAATTCCTAAAGTTCACCTCATTTTTTAATACAACCATTAACCTCTTCCATCCCTTCACGCTGCATCGTCCAGCATCCTTACGGCGTTTTAATTGCACAAAAAGCAGAGACAACCTTAAACCTGCTAAAGAAAAAAACGTCAAAAGAGAAGAACACAACGACGATATCTGGTTCTCTCGCGTTGCAGAAATACGCGTCGCGATACAGCAAGATCGTGGGAGAGACGCTCGCGAAAAACGCGCTCTGTCGATTTGGTCTCGGTCTAAATGTAACCCTAAAAGTTCGACGCAACAGCCAGAAGAATGTATAATTACGACACATAAAAGTAACCATCGCCCACTCAAAAAGCAACTCGTTGCGGCTTGCCAGTGCGTAAAGACGTTCCTCTGGTTTTCGGGTCGTCGCACCCACAACCCCCAGATTCCCATCGATCTCTCCACCAGAAGATGTTCGGCAATTTTTCGACAGTGATTACACCAGCCTCGTCTGACCTGTGCTGTAAAAATGTAGCTTGTAAGTATAAGGCAGAAAAGTGGACAGCGTGGAAGAAGTCGAAGAAACTGTTCCTCGCCGCGACCTATTCCTCCGTCTCTTTCGGGGAATTTCAACGCGAGTCGGGGGTGGAGAGAGGAATCCGCTGCTCGAAAGCCGGCAATCTTCGAAATCGTTCGACTTAGCCACGCTCGCGGCCCTTCTTTGCACCTTTTTTCACGCGATAAGTGAATTTACGCTGCAGAATAGTTGGATTTTAGGATGGAATTAATTTTTCTTCTGTGAAACGCGGAAAGTCGAACTGATAACAGCTGCGATTTGGGGGATGCCAAAGGAGAGAAAGAATTGTTTTATGTTTTTCTAAAAAATGGGATAAAATATTCTTCTCTTCTCGAGAAGGTGTTCGGTAATTAATGTCGAACCGCTACAGAGTAGTTGGTGGATTTTAGATAATTTTTCTTCTGCAAATCGCGAAAATTCGGACTGATAACAGCTGTGATTTGGAGAATGTCAAGGGAGAGAAAGAATTGTTTTGCATTTTTTTTTAAAATACGACAAAATATTTTTCATTTCTTGAGAAGGTGTTCGGTAATTAATGTCGAATCGCTGCAGAAAAATTGGTGGATTTTAGGTAATTTTTCTTCTGTGAGACACGAAAATTCGGACTGATATCAGCTGCAAAATGGAGACTGTCAAAGGAGAGATAGAATTGTTTTATGTTTTTCTAAAAAGTGGGATAAAATATTCTTAATGAGAAGATATTTGGTAATTAATATCGAGTCGAAAGAAATCTTAACCCTTTCGCGACCAATAAGACGCACACGTCCCACTTGAGCACTCGCAGATAAATTTATCTCATTTAGGATCCACGACAGACGCGATGATCGATAGATAAATAACAAAATTCTTTAAAAAAATAACGCGATCACGAAAAAATTGACACGTTCTCTGCTGATAATACTGTGATTACGTACATACTCTATACGTCAATAAACTGTAAAACTTTATATACACTACCGGCCAAATGTTTGGAATCACTGTGCATTGCAAGTTGCACAAAAATTCCCCAAAAAAGTTAGTGTTTATATCAATTTTTCAACGAATTTTTTATCATTCAAATCAATCGAAATGAGGTAAAATGCTATTGATCTCCGCAACATCAATTTCAAGTCAACAAAGAATTAGTTGCAGATTCAATATCAATATAAATTGGCAGGTGATTCCAAATTTTCAGCCGGTAGTGTGTATGCTTTACATGAATTTTTATGAAAATATTTTCAATATTTCGTCACTTTCAATTTGTTTCCCGTAAATGTGATACGGATCTGACAAGAGTCGCAGTTAGGTATGATAACAGTCGACTCGGATACGAGACGTGAACGTGTTAGTTATCAATAAAAAAAACTTTTTATTCCACTTTTTCAATAAAAATATTAAACATTTTTAACAACGTAAAACACTATTGTTGATTAACAAATAATCTTCGCAATACGACGCACTTTCTTTCACGCGAAAATTCTGGAAAAACCGTTCTTAATTGCCGATGAGAAGCGGAAACGCGTGGATGGAAACGGAGAGGTGGAAAATCGTTCGGATCACCATCTGTCATAGCGGATTGTTAACTCGGTTATAGCGCACGCATATCAAATCGTTCACGACGTACCTTAGCACGAAATGGGCAGTACAGTAATACGATTTGGATATATGGAGAGTCCTGTGGGATATTACCAGCACAGAGCTTTCTCCCCTGCGATACGACAAATGATATGCATATGTAAATACGGTGACCGAGCATTACGAATCGGCCTAACGCTAGGAAATCTGATTTGCAAGCCGTTCTACGAATATTCACGAACATGCGCCATTACTGTCCGTAATAGCTCACTTTTAGACGTCTTCTTTCGACCGTTAATTGCAAATTTTTTTTTTCTTTTTTATTATTTAATTGTTATATCGAATTTTACTGCCAAACTGTACTTCGATGAAGTAAATAGAATACGCTAGGAAGCTTGGCGTTTCAGACTTTCCCTGGCGAAGTGTTGAGAAAAATTTTCGAAGAGTAGGCTTTTTTCTCCTCTAAGAAGCTTTCGTTTCAGACTTTCTCTGATAAAACCTTGAGATAATTTTTGAGAAAATAAGTACTTGAAACCATTGTCAGGACCGTACGAAGAATTCTTGTATCCAGCGAAAGTCAACTGATTCTAATATACTTACTGAAAACTGTATGCAGCTAGGACAAATTAGGGTTTCTCCCTCTGGGGGAAGCCGCTTTTGGAAGTACGGTTACAGGTAAAGGTCTTATTGATGTCTTTAGCATCTTAGTTTATCTACTCGTGTTATATACAGATAGAAAGTGCAAAAAGATTGTGTAGCTTAATATTAACATATTTTCCATTTGTAAATGAAATACCATTTTCTACTTGAAGTACCAAATCATATGCTACCATTCGTTTATTGTTGGAACCCTCAAACAGACTGCAACACACGGCCTTGAGTGCCGCAACATCAATCGATGCCGATTTTTGAGAGTTTAATTTACGACCTCGCTATATCGTGGCCCCAACTATACGTTCTATTCTGAACAAGTTGAAGAGGTTTTGAAGTGATCTAGTAAATATCGATCTATTATCTATTGTATGACTTGGACACATTTCAATTTTTTCAGACTTGAACGTATGTTACGTTCTCAAAAATTATCTCAAGATTTTACCAGTGAAAGTCTGAAACGAAAGCGTCCTAGAGCAGGAAAAAAGTTGCTCTTTGAAAATTTCTCTTCATACTTTGCCGCGAAAAATCTGAAAAGCCTCCTAGTGTATCTTATTTACTTTTTATTTATTCACAGTTCCATTTGAAAGATTGAAATTAGTAACAGAAAATCAAAATTCGATGCTTGAAAAAGACATCCAAAAGTAAATTATTATGGACAGTGTTTGAGATGAAATGGGAATCTCTGAAAAATTTCATTCGGATGATTCTAAACTCATATGGTAAACAATAGACTGAAATTTATCAAATCACTCCAGAATCGCTTCAATTCCTCCCCAATTAAACCCGCGTGAAATTTTCAAAAGTATTCTCAAGATACAGCCAGAGAAAGACCGAAACGAGAGCTTCCTAGAGGGGAAAAAGTACACCGTTTCCTCCGGATTGATCCAGTGACCTCGAAACAACATCCACAGAGAGGAAGGTCCAAGGGAGTTTGGTTTTATCTCACGGTCTTTTGCTCTATCAGCGGCGGTCGGATGATCCCGTTAACAGGATCAAGACTCGTGGCGTAGTCGAAGGGTTCTTGTTATTCGCAATCGCCTTCTCTGATCCTTAGGGACAGCAGGATCCCCTCTGGTTGCCCAGAGAATTACCCGGGAAACGCGCGGTTGGATATATATTCATTTGCAGAATACACAATGAATGAAATTACTCGCCGGCGTCATTTTTATTAACGTCTCCTTCAATGAGATCCGAATTCTGTTGTCGTTCGATACGGAGAACCTTATATCGCTTCTTCGAATCGTGCCTCTCTCAGAGATTAAATTCAACCTTCGCCGCTGAAATTGCGTTTCGTTCGTTTGTAATTCGACGATAAACACGACAACGACGGCGAAAAAAAAAAGAAAATAAAGAAACGAACAGAAATTCGAATCTCGACCGAAAGATTCCGACTATCTGATTCTTTCGAAATCGTTCTTTCAAGTTTATGTCCACACTTCGCAGACGATCGTCGGGAGGTTCGATGCAACCTCGCTTATCAACAGAGGATCCACGTTGCGGCAGGAAGTGTCGATGCTGTTGTAATTAACGAAACAAAGCTCCGGTGTCTTGGTATACGTCTGGTGATAATACGCGTGTGTATGTGTACCTGTAAGACGTTGCACAGAGCCTTCCAAGGCTCGTCCCTCGCAAAACCCTCAGCCCTCGCCCTCGTTGCTAATGATTTGCAAACATCGTCCCTCAGCCTCGTTCCGCTCATTACAAAGTTTTTGCTCGGCGTGTCGAGCGTGAATAATCCGGGCCCGTCTTCGTCAGTTTGGAAAGACGAAGCTGGAGAATCGTGTTCTTCTTTTTTCTTGTTGCAATTGTTGTGATCATTTTTCCATCGGTGTTAGGATTCATCAGGCAAAGGTTTATGGCACGATCGCACCTACAGGCTGTTTTTGAGATTAGGATTTACTTTACTATTTTATGCTTTAACGTCCATCCTAGCGAAGGCCGGTAGAATCACTTAATTAGAGTTTTTTGCCGCTTGTGCCTTTCGCGCTCAATAGCTTAAGAACATGCCATAAACCACGGGTTTTCCGAAGGGTACAATTGTCTGTAACGGTCCGCTGGCCGATGAGTCACCCGGAGGAATTTCCCGAATTATTATAAACATTTGACTCCCCCTTGGGATCTTCTCCCACTCCACCAGGGTAAAGCGCGCTAAGGGCGCACTGGAAGGAGTTGGCGAGAAAATTAGGCACGTTGATTGGCGATGAATATTAGAAAATATTCACCAATCAGCGTATTCTTCAAGAACCACCGCTCTCGAGGGCGAAGACGAGCTCTCGAGAAAGTAGAATCGTTACAACCATCAGAGCAACAACATCAAGCAGTCAAATTAGTCACTTAGTTTTACACACAATAAAAGCTTACACAAAGTTAGAAAGGCAACACGCATTTGCCCATTTTTTAAATCAGTCAGCTTAGTGCGACAGCACACACGGGCTACATTTATACAAAATCATACAATCGGTTTTTCGGATTTTTTGACTTTTTCGGTTCGTTCGACAATTTAACCCTTTCGCTGCGGCAGATTTTAACAGGAGCTAGGACTGCAAAATTTGTTGGTTTCTATGGTTATTAATATATTTTGTAATTATAATGTTTGATATTAAATTGAAGTGTCAGAAAAGGGATGAAAAATTTGTTTTTTAACTTTCGTAGGTTCGCTGACTCGGAAATTTCATGTTTAAAAATATATTTCGTTCTTTTGTTTAAGATTTAGAGCTGAAGGGAAAGATAGACGTACCACCATCCAATGAGAATTTTTCGTGGACTGCTATGGAATACGATGCTGGCGCTTGCAATATTTGTATATAAACAAAAATTACATAGTTTTTAAAAGTTCAAAGGATACATAATAAATTCTGAAAAATCACAGGTCGTTATCTTCTTTATTTTCTTCTAATAAAAATCGTAAAATTGATCATTTTTTAGCTTCCTAGACCGGAACCTTCTCTAAACATGAAATTGCGTAAAGAATAAAATTAAGTACTAAATACTCCAAAACGCTAACACAAAATATTGCCAGCAAATTTTCAAAACATCAGTAGACACTGATAAAGGGTTAAATTTGATATTCACTAAAAATCACCCTACTTTACCGATCGAATCGTTAATTACAAATTGATCAATTCCACTCGATTAATGTCACACGGGACACAATACAATACTTCTTCCCGAACAACATGTTTCACATTAGTTTTCTAACAATTAGTAAGTTAAAGCTGTTGCGCAGAACTTGTTACAGATATATGATTTTTTTTAATCAAGGAAATCTCAATTAAATTTCTGTTTTACCCGTCGTTCGAGTATCGGTTAATATCTTAATTAAACAATTGATAGGCCGTGCCGTTTCACAAGAGGCAATAATTAAAAGATTGTATTATCGATTGAAAATTCGATCGATCGTCACGTATTATCGATTGAAACTTTCACGCGAAGTCTACTAAAAACGATCGACCAGCGTGGAGGGAGCGGGGGAACCGTATCGTGTTTAGTTTATATTCGTTATCAGATTAATTGCTTCCTCTTTTCAAGGAGGGAGAGAAAAAAAAAGGAATCCAATAATCTGCGATACTGATACTATCTTGTCTTCAATAATCAAAGCTACTCAATTTTCGCATATCTCGACGTCACTTTCTGTAGATGCGCTTATTCACGTTCGCGATAAAAATCGTATATTTTTGTTTATCCTTATCAACACGACGTACGCTTCTCCGAGCGTATATAAATTGATCAATAGAAGTATCAATCAATTACAGTAATCACATATATCTCAACATGTACACGCTAACCCTTCCGATTGTACTCTGCCTTGCAGTCGCAGCTTATGGTAAGTAACAGCGGAAAGAAATATTTTCAAGTTTTGATTTCAATCGAAATTGAAATCATTCCGAGTTTCTCGAAATTTGCGATTTAAATGCAATTCTGGGGATCTCTAGACAAGACAATGTGAACGATAGAAATATTTATTTCTCGTGATGAATGAAATTTTGTAGAAACTTGTCGATGGAGATCTATTAAATGAAATATGTTACTGTGATTTTTAAGTGATTTTTAAGTATTCAATTTGCAACTCGGAATAGTGGGTAACGGGTTTGTAACGTGTGAAATATTCTAGTGATTAGCGAAGATTTTACGTATCAAGTTGCACGAAACCACGAATGCAAC